AAAAAAAAAAAAAAAAAAAGGCGAAAAAGGAAAGAGTTAAAAATAAAATAAAATAAAAGAGAGATATGGAGCATAAAAAATCAATTAATTTAAATACTTTAAATAAAATAATTATAAATGTATAATTAATATTACATTAAGAGTTTTATAAAAATAGTTAAATCAGATTTTTTAAAAGTAAAAGCCAATTTTTGGTAATGGAGATGGACGGAATTTGTCACTTCCTGCAATGTTTCCTCGTGTTACGTCATTTAAACAGTGAATGGTCGTCGTCTGCCCGAATTTTAAAAAAACTGAATATATTTAATATAATAATTTAAAAATGCCAACAATTGGAATAAAAAAGGATTTATTATTTACTGCTTTAGGCCAAACATACAGTAAGTTTAATACATTTTTGCACGTGACAGAGTGAATCAAAACAAACACGTGGCAATGTTGATCTATAATTTTGTGTGCATATGTTAATTTATATATAAAAATAATAGAATTATAAATAATCGATTATGACTTAATCAAAATCTTAACGTAATTATGAATTTTTTAATTAAAAAAGCTTTTAAGTATATAAACATTATTTTTATAAACTGATTTATGGATACACTTTATCTACCATTTTGGTAGGATTCTCCATGATCTAGTCTTATTCTTACACAGATCTTCCTATTGTCTCCATCCACGGATCGATCTGTATATATATATATATATTGGAGGAGATGGCCAATGACAATAAGAAAAATTTCTCATCATCAGGTTTTGCATGGTACAAAATATGTGCAATGTCTTGGTGGCGGTCGTGACTGTTCATGCTCCTGTTAGTTATTGATACATACTAGTTATTGATATGTGTGTTCAAGAACTATCATGAATCAATAACTAGTGACGTTAAACAATCAGTGGCCTTCCCCTCTGGAGCATAGTTGCAGCTGCCACCATGATGGTGCATATAGGTAAAATTCTACCAAATAGTGTATTTGTGTACAGCAGTGGCTCATCCAGAGGGGGGCCAAGGCACCCTGACACCCTACAAAGAAAAATAAAAACAAATATTGTACTATAAAAGTTTCCAAACATCTTTTCTTAATTAAAATTTATTTTTTATTTATATTGTGGCATGCATTCTATTTCTATACTACTAATGAGTTAGTGGTCACATTAGGTGTGAATTTTATTGAATTCGCGTTAAAAGTTTTTTTATCCATTTGACTCGGCTCCCTCTAAAGTTAAATCCTGAATGTGCCACTGGTTTATGGTACTTAAACAACTACTTGACACGTAAATGCAAATTCCAGCATATAATAAACAAAGAATGTTTAATGTTCAAACTTTATCAGCTGTGAAAATTTTGAAAATTTCTAACTTTAGGAAAGTTAGAAATTTTCAAAGAATAGAACTGTGTTTTGTTTTTCTTGCATTTATTGCTGATGAGGGCTTCTGAAAGAGGGCCAGTAAAGTTTGAACATTAAACATTCTTTGTTCATTATATGCTGGAATTTGCATTTAGGTGTCAAGTAGTTGTTTATTATATAGTTCCAGTTTAAGTGTGCCAATTTTTTATGTTTGATGTACGATACTTGTATAATTTTGAAAAAATTTATTGTGCTGCAATTTGAAAAACCGTAGACCTATAAATTCCCACTGTCATCTGTCCATCTGTCTTTCCTTACTCTCAACTACCAAGAACAGAGTTAGATGAAAGACAAGACCAGATATGGAAACTTAGGGGCAGGAAGTCCCGATTAATTATGTAAAAATTTCCGATTCAAACCAAAAATCATGTTACTTCAATTCAAAAAGTTTTCCTTGAAAGGTGTTAGATAGATGACTGGCACAACTTTATTGCTAAAGGAAAAGTATGATATACAGGGGAAGCCACTGCTAATTCAAAGTGGAGAGCATATATTTTAAATTAAATATATTAAAAATATGATTAAAAATTGCAGCCTGGCATTGTGGCAATGTCACAATTTAAACGTCCAACAACAGCTTTAAATTTTCAGTAGCTGACATCTAGTGGCCATCTCTAGAACCTTAGAAAGTGGGATAAAGTTGTGCTAATTTTTAAGGAGAAAAATATAATTTAAAACAAAAGTTTTACTATCATAAAAATTTAGTTTTAACAGTTTAACAGATAAATTTTCTTATTAACTTATCAATACATACAGAAGAAATACTCGAAGCTTAATATATTTCCTACCAAAAGATTTTTTTTGGAAGCACGGACAGAAAGAGGGATGGAGTAAAAGTAGGTAAAAGATTATCAAAATAATAGATAATCAATTAAAAATGAAAGTTATAAATTAAAAATATGTTATTAAATAGACAGTATACTTGTATTTTTCTATAATTTGTTTCTTTAAATCAATTAGCAAATTATCTGTGAATTACTTAATAAAGCCAACTTGTATCTACAAATAAACATAAACTACAACCCTTGGCAAAAAGTATTTGAACATGATATAAGAAAATAAAATTGTTTAGTTTGAGCTCGTTTTACAAGAAAATAGAAATGTATTGCTGAAAACAAAAATATACATTTCTTTCATTGAGCTATTAAATGTGAATCGCTTTAATTTCAAATGAATAAACCAAACCATTTTCCAAAAAAAGAAATTTTATGTAAAGCAGTATTAGAAAAATGTTTTTGAACATATAGGAACTTGGAAAAAAGTATTTGAACAACAGTAATAATAAAAGAATCATATTCAAAATAATAGAAGTTAATATTTTGTTGTTGTTTCTCTTGATCTTATTATACCTTTTATGCATCTTGGTGCTGTCAAAATTAATTCATTGAAGGTTTTTGAAGTTATTTTACTTGAACTAATTTTAGTGGCTTCTTTAAGTTCATCTTTATTATTTGGCATCTTTTCACCAACCAGCATTTTCAACTGTCCATAAATTTTCAATAGAGTGTAAATTGGGCTATTTGCAGACCCTTAGACTTTTGAAAATTTTTTATTTTATTTGGCTCAATGGTATGTGGCATTATCATCATGTAAACAACAACGGCATCACTGCGCTCTCTCTCATATCAGATTGTGTAAAAATATCGAAGTAACATTTAATAGTGTGAAATTGTGAAGGTTTAAAATTATTCGTTTACAGTATTTATTAGCCAGCATTGCTACTTGGTAAACTTCTACATTCAAAGAACACCGGGATGAAATCAACACGTACCTTGAACCTGTTACCAATGTGGATGATATGATGGATAAATATCACAAAGATGATGGATAAATATCACATGATGGATAAATATCACAAATTTAACATGATACAAGAGAGAAGTCCATTAACAAGTTTTTAAGTTAAGCAATCTTGATATATTTGAACTCAAAAATCTAATTGTCTGATCTATTTTATAATAATTAGCACTGAAGAGGGAATGAAACTATACATTGTTCCAAAATGCTATTACAATAATAAATGAAACAAATAAAGTCATTCTCATTGAAAAACTTTGGATGTTAGGAGTGCTGTATTGAAATTCTTAAAGAGAAAAGAAAGAAAGAATAAATCAAAAGTATTTTAATTGAAACATTTTATTTCCATGTATTAAATGCCATCTTTTAGAGTTATTTTTCAGTTTTATAAATAACATTATGTTTTTTGATATGGTAAATCTGAAAAATTTTATTTAATAATAGTTTGTTTTTCGAAAATATGTTTATAATTTATAAAATTGTGTTAATTATTGTACAGTATTGAATTAAATTTTTAATTATAGCTGAAGAAGAATTTAATGATTTGTGTTTTGAATTTGGATTGGAATTAGATGAAGTAGTAAGTCTGAAATATTATTTACTTTAAAATCATAATTATTATAATTTCCAATAGGAAAACTCAAGTTACATTCTTCATTTTATAATAGTTATTTATGCTAGTAAATTCACCTGTCAGGAATGTCAGGTTAAGTTATATTAGTAAAGTAAAACTAAATGAAATAATTCAAGTACAGTACGAGGGCTGTTTGGAAAGTTCGCGGCCTCAAATAGAACAACAAACAAAATAATGTTAAAACTTTTTTTATTTTTCAATGTAGTCTCCTTTGTTAGCAATGCACTTATTCCAGCGATGTTCTAGCTTTTTTATGCCATTACAATAGGTCGATTTGTCAAGGTGTGCAAAATACTCGTTTACTTCAGAGATGACTTTGTCATTTGAGTGGAATCTCTTTCCAACCAAGAATTATTTTAAATTTGGAAAAAGGTGGAAGTCACTGGGGG